GTCATCCTTCAAACCTTTGTACAGAGGTTCTGCAACAGTGGCTGAAAGTGGGAAGAATTTCAAGCTTGAATTTCAGTTATGAGTGGCCTGGCATTTTTTGACTTGGATATTAGAGTGTTGCTCTTTGTAGAATTAATGGTGGTTGTAGTCATTCAAAGATCTTTTAATCTGTAGTAAGTGTGCTTGTGAGAGTTTGGATGCCACTCATAGTTAGCATTCAGACATTTTGTTGAGTACATGGAAAAAGATAGTCTTTAGATCAAGAGTAGGGAACAAGTAGTGAAAGAGGCACAATGTGGTTTTCAGTTTGCCATGCCTACTAACATGTCTGACCCATGGAGGCTCAACAACGTGTTGAGGGGTAACCTGATGCTGTGCTGGCATCTGCTCTGCATGAAGCATGCTCTTAAGCACTGCGGCCTCCTGTGTAAGCAGAATTGTGCTTGGGATGTTGTCCACTGCCCCTTCCTTCATCAGCTCTGCCAACTTCTAGAGCTTGGAGGACACTTCTCTACAGTGAAGATGTCCCATTTACAGAGTTCTTGGCCCATTGATTCCCGCGTAGTGATGTCACCTAGAAGGGTTGGTTCTTGGACTCCTGACCACCTTCTCTGTGGCCTAGCCCTAGGCTGCTTCCACCCTGCCCTCAGCTGCTGTCCTAAATTTGCCTGAATGTGGTCTCTGGGCTCTCAGCCGAATGGAGGGAGGCCGGCTGTCTCATTGGGGTTCTGCTTCTGTTTCGACAAAGGGGAACTGCAGACTTCTTCCCTTTCACTGTCTCTCTGGCCACTGTTATGGAGACTGTTCTTGTTTCTAAGTGCATTTACTGGTTTTCTGTTGAAACCAGTTGCTAGAAAAATTTTCACAGCCTGGGATCCACGAGTAGTGGTGTCCATTTTTTAAAAGTTGCACACTAGCAAAAAACAAGATGGAGACCCTATGGGACCCATAAACCCTAAAATGTTTATTGTGTGGAAAGTTGCTGATCCAGCTTTAGTTGATGGAGGGGCTTACTAGCTACTCTTCTCATCAGTACTGTTGTTACATATCTAAATAATCACCATAGGACTGGAGAGATGGCTCAGTGGTTAAGAACCCTGGCAGAGGACCCAAGTTCAAGTTCCAGCACCCCTGTGGCAGCTCACAACTGTCTATAACTCCAGTTACAGGGGATCCGACACCTGCCATGAGCAAAACACTCATACACATAAAATAAAAAATTTTAAAGTCACCATAGATCGTAGTATCATGGCAATATGTTTTTCATATCTTCAATCAGTCACAACAAGTTGCTGGGCACAGAAAAAAGTTTTGCATTAGGGCATTGTAGGGGTTTTCCTCTTTATGACTTAAACAAGTAGAGAGGGATTTATTACCTGCAGGAGTGGAGTCAAGGAAAGCAGGGAGTTACCTGGTTGGGAATGTCTCTGAGCATGTTCAGTTTGCACCATGAAGTGGAAGCTAAAGACAGAGGAAAGGATACATTCTTTCTTGTATCCTGTGTTATCATCAATGTATTAAAACAGAAATGTGCTCTTTAGAGAACCCACCTTTCTTTGTGGTTACCTAAGTGCTGATCATGAGTGTTGAATTTAGTTTTGTGCTTGTCTTGAACAACTGCTTTGAACATGTCAGTGAGCTGTTATATCACAAGTTTTAGAAATGAAAGAAAACATAATCTTTTTGAGCCATTCATAAGTGTGTGTGTGGTCTCAAAATGAAATTGTGTTTTAGAAGCAAAGACTTTACAGACTACTTCATTTGCTATTTTATTTTTTAAATCTCAAATGAGCCAGATTATTAAAGTATAGTTTATTATACTCTCTGGCCCCTGAAGGAAACAGTGAAACCTGTATTGCTGTAGTTGGACACAAAGCAACTTACTAACTTTTCTATGCTTCAGTGTCTGTGTTCTGAGGTGATAAAGTTAAGAAGGATAAATGAGTTTGTTGTGTCCAGCACTTTGTTTGGTAAGTAAAGGCAGTTAAAGAAATAGTGGTCAATAATATTAACTAATATGCACATTAATTACATTAGACAGTAGTGTAAAAGTTTGGGACCCCCCATTTTAATTTTGATCTTTAAACACCTGAAACTTAGCACACCATGCTCCATTACTTATCACATCTCTATTTTTGCTACCTGAATTACTCAATTTGTGTATTTTCTCAAGCATCTTCAGCATGTCAGTAGTTAATTTTCATAGTGTTTTCTTGTTCCTCACTTTGAAAAGCTAGTCAGTGACTAGAGCTGCGGGGGTGGGGGTGGGAGTGGGGATGGGGTGTCCCTTTCCCGTGTTTTCTGGTCTTGAAAACAGTTTTACTCTATCAGGTATTCCAAGGAAAATGAATCAAATCCAAATTATGGTCTAATTAGGATTCTGAATTAAGACCGATAACAGTCTAAATGAATATTTATATGACTTTAAGGTCTATTCCCCGTCAGATTGGCATTTAGATAGATAATTTGGGGGGGGGGGGCTTACTTGAATTTTGCTTATCATGGGCTCTTGTTTGCTTACAGTTTGCAGTATTGATGTGGGTGTTTACTTATGTTGGTGCCTTGTTCAATGGTCTGACACTGCTGATTTTAGGTAAGTCTACAAAAAGATTGAAAAGCACTTAAGAGACATTTTGGTAGAGAATATCTTTATTGTAGGAAAAAAAGAAATCTTTAAGTAGCTGATACTGATTTATTGAAATGCTATATTAGTTCCTGAGGACTGTTCCAGCTAACACTGACAGGCCCACCTCACCCGATGGTGCACTCCTGAGTTTAAGTGGGGCACATGTACTCTGTAAAATTTGTGTTATCTGATTTGAGTGCTCATAGCTCCTCAGCTGCTCCTGTCCTCCACATCTGCAGTGTAGTGTGAGCATTTACGCAGACCCTAGGGGCACTGCCTAGTTATCTTGATTACTGTTGGCTTGATAGTTTAATATTTACTCCCTGAATGAAGCGGGTCCTTTTTTTAAAAAGTTGTGTTATTTGCTTTTTCAGCTCTGATTTCACTCTTCAGTATTCCTGTTATTTATGAACGACACCAGGTAATTTCTTAACTGTCAACTGCAGAACATAAAGCTCACTGTTACTACTCTAAAGGACTCACAAAAGATCCAGTTTCCAGACCTGGTCTTAAGCCTTTAATTTGTTGGTATGGAGTAATAGTCTTTGTCAATGGTAACTTTGTAATGCTTTTATCCTCTTTCTTAGGTGCAGATAGATCATTATCTAGGACTTGCAAATAAGAGTGTTAAAGAGGCCATGGCTAAGTAAGTACACCCTGAAACTTCTTTACCAAGGGTAAGGGTGGCATTTTTTGCACACCCAAGTCACTTCGGCATTGGCAGAATGCTCCTAAGTGCCAGCATTACTAGGAAAATGAATCAAATCCAAATTATGGTCTAATTAGGATTCTGAATTAAGACCGATAACAGTCTAAATGAATATTTATATGACTTTAAGGTCTATTCCCCGTCAGATTGGCATTTAGATAGATAATTTGGGGGGGGGGGGCTTACTTGAATTTTGCTTATCATGGGCTCTTGTTTGCTTACAGTTTGCAGTATTGATGTGGGTGTTTACTTATGTTGGTGCCTTGTTCAATGGTCTGACACTGCTGATTTTAGGTAAGTCTACAAAAAGATTGAAAAGCACTTAAGAGACATTTTGGTAGAGAATATCTTTATTGTAGGAAAAAAAGAAATCTTTAAGTAGCTGATACTGATTTATTGAAATGCTATATTAGTTCCTGAGGACTGTTCCAGCTAACACTGACAGGCCCACCTCACCCGATGGTGCACTCCTGAGTTTAAGTGGGGCACATGTACTCTGTAAAATTTGTGTTATCTGATTTGAGTGCTCATAGCTCCTCAGCTGCTCCTGTCCTCCACATCTGCAGTGTAGTGTGAGCATTTACGCAGACCCTAGGGGCACTGCCTAGTTATCTTGATTACTGTTGGCTTGATAGTTTAATATTTACTCCCTGAATGAAGCGGGTCCTTTTTTTAAAAAGTTGTGTTATTTGCTTTTTCAGCTCTGATTTCACTCTTCAGTATTCCTGTTATTTATGAACGACACCAGGTAATTTCTTAACTGTCAACTGCAGAACATAAAGCTCACTGTTACTACTCTAAAGGACTCACAAAAGATCCAGTTTCCAGACCTGGTCTTAAGCCTTTAATTTGTTGGTATGGAGTAATAGTCTTTGTCAATGGTAACTTTGTAATGCTTTTATCCTCTTTCTTAGGTGCAGATAGATCATTATCTAGGACTTGCAAATAAGAGTGTTAAAGAGGCCATGGCTAAGTAAGTACACCCTGAAACTTCTTTACCAAGGGTAAGGGTGGCATTTTTTGCACACCCAAGTCACTTCGGCATTGGCAGAATGCTCCTAAGTGCCAGCATTACTTCTGTGTGTGCTCTCTCTCTCTCTCTCTCTCTCTCTCTCTCTCTCTCTCTCTCTCTCTCTCTCTCCCCCCCTCCCTCCCTCCCTCCCTCCCTTTCTTTTTCTAAAGACAATGTTGACACCTATAATGTGAGGCAAAGGTGGAAAAATTATAGTTGCATTTTGGTAGCTTTAGAATTCTCTCAATAATATACAGTGTAGCATGTTTTAAAGAAGCAGGGAACAAACAAAAATTGACATTTTTCTTTATTTGTAGAATCCAAGCAAAAATCCCTGGATTGAAGCGCAAAGCAGAATGAAAAAGCCCCAAACAGTAGGAGTTCATCTTTAAAGGGGACACTCATTTGATAACGGGGGTGGGAGGGTCAGGGGTGAGCCCTTGGCGGCGGTGCAGCTTCAGCTCTTCATTTTTAGCAGTGCACTATTTGAGGAAAAATTACCTGTCTTGACTTCCTGTGTTTATCATCTTAAGTATTGTAAGCTGCTGTGTATGGATTTAAATTGTAATCATACTTGTTTTTTCTGTATGAGGCACTGGTGAATTAAGTGAGCCGAGAAAGCAGTATATTTAATTGCAGGTAGTTTTGCTGTATTTGGGAAATTGCAAAAAGGTGAAGCTGAAAAAAAAAAAAAAAAAAACTTTTCACAGTGTACTGTGTTTGGTTGGTGTAAATTGATGCAGACTTTTCTGAATGAAATGTTTAGACGAGATCATACTACTAAAGCAGGAATGAAAACGCTGTCTTTATGGTATGTTCTAGGTGTATTGTGAACTTACTGTTATATTGCCAATATAAGTAAATATAGACATAATCTATATATAGTGTTTCACAAAGCTTAGATCTTTACCTTCCAGCTTCCCCACAGTACTTGACCTCTGAGTCATTGATTATACAGTATAGTCTCTCAAGCACATAAGCTAGGAAGAGAATATATTTCTAGGAGCACTACCATCTGTCTTTAAGGAAACAACACAGAACTCCAGCATAAACATCATTGCAAAGACTTACTGTATAGTTAATTGTGTTACAGACTCTGATTCTATGGACTGAATTTAATACTTCCATATGTTTGCAGTTATCAAACATAGTTATGCAAGAAATCATAAAATGAAGACTTATGCCATTGTGGTTTAAGCTGTAATGAATTATCTGTGGAATGCATTGTGAACTGTAAAAGCAAAAGTTTCAATAAAGCTTATAGACTTAATGTATTTAATGTATGTGTTTAGTGTTTTTGTTTCATGAATGTACAGCAAAACAGTGATAGGCTGTCTAGAATGAATGAATGGTGATATGCTTTTAGAAAGGTTCATGAAACAGCTAAAGAACAAAGAACATATTTACATAGTGAAATTTATTTGACCCATAACAAAAGATTTTAAATTTTTATACTTTGACTGAAAATAAACTCATGCACCAATATTTTAACAGAATATAGTGCAAGATTTATGAATATACATAAAATACCACATAAACTTTACAAATGAGACTTTCAAAAGTCTTTATAACACACACTATTGCTCGTCAAATATACATGTACATATACCACTGATTAATCAGGTGTCCATCCACATGGTTATTTAAATGCAAGATCTGGTCAGAATGAAAACATAGTAGTGCAAGATAGGCAGACATGGTCATCACTCAGCATCACCAGTTACAGGAAACAGAATTAGGACTGCATAGGGACTCTACTGGGGGTCCAACAACCTACTAGTGGATTAATGTAAGGCATTAATAAATTGGCATGTAAAGTAGCTTAATGAGTAGTCTAATCCTTTTAGAATGCTGAAGCACTTCTGTGGTAAATGTTAGAAATCTATTCTTCAACTGAAAATACTTCATTTTATCCTTTCTATAAATTGACAACTGCAGATAGCTAGGAACTCAAGGTACAGAATTTTAGTGCACAGACCGGAAGGACTCTGGCATGTGTACTCAGTGGCCTCATCCCTGCCAGCCTTCTTCCAGTGAGTGTCCTCTGTATAAGGGAACTGAGGAACTTTAAGGTAATATTGTCCAAGTCACATTCTGTCCTACAACTGACTGAAGAAATTCAAGTACATCTTTGAGAGATTTTTTTTAAATTTAGATTTAGCCTGCATTGATTATCTGAAACCAGTGGAGCCAAGCCAGCCCTACCCAAGGGTATAAACCAAACACAGCCTTTTAAGCAAGACAAATCAGCTCACTCATTTAGACATACTGTAGATTCCCCCCCTTTTACATCTTGTAGAAGTTGTTTTGTCTGAAGGATTTAGGTTAGGTTGTGGATTTGGCACTAACATAAAATCCATTGCTACTTCTCACAGAATTGGAGTTCCTCTGTTGCTCACCTTCCTCATAACCACTTTGTCTAAGCAGGTAACTGATGCCTTTAGAAACCCTAGACATACACACAGAACAAGTGATGGAGCCTGCTAATCCCATAGCCCTCCTCAGTTTTGAAGTTTTAGCACCATGTGTAGAAAGGAGACATTGTGGGAGGTGAGGCAACAGCCCACACAGCTGGGAACTTTCAAGGCACTTAATGGATATAAAACTGCAAATGAAACTTTAAAAAATTAAGTTTTTAAACTTGTTTATACATGGCTCATTTGGTTTTGAAAGCTAAATGTGGCAAACAGGCTGTCTATTTCTGTACTTCAGTGCTTCCAACTTACACTGTCATGTCCAGTGAACATTCTTGAAATATATAGAAAAAGAATAGCAAAACACCTTTGTAAAAGTCTTAATGCAAATTAAAAGCTACATATTGGTTAGAGTAACTGAGGCTGTAACTTTTGTCAGTGGGCTACATCATCAGGATTTTGTTGTTAGTGTTACTAATAAGTATAGGTTTTAGTCTCCAGAGGCAAACAGTCTTAATATTGTAGTACTTTATCTTCTTTCTTGGCATCACCGTCTTGCAAAGTTCATATTGTGGGACAGTCCTACAACCTCAATGGCATTCAGAGCTTGTATGTCCCACAGTTAGTGTTGAGCAGGTACCTTTGCACTGCCTGGAAGTAGCTGGGGGAAAGCAGTGTAGTGCACGAGGTTCTGGTGTTTACAGACATCGCCACACAAATACACTGAAAAGCAGACCAGACCAGACATTTTTGTGTGGCCAGTTTCTAAAATTTTGCCAGGTATCCAAACACAGTCTTACCAAATGATCAAGATTTCAAAATGTAGTCTCCCTTCCTGGTTATCATTCTCTCTCTCTCTCTCTCTCTCTCTCTCTCTCTCTCTCTCTCTCTCTCTCTCTCTCTCTCTCTCTCTCTGGTTTAAGATTTGGTTTGGGTTTCACTATGTAGTCTGAGAATTACAGGTATGAGCCACCATGTCCAGCTTATGGCTCTTTTTTAGAGTTCTTTGTGTTTGCTTTCACTTCTTTTTGCTGCCTTGAGCATTTGTGCAGAATAAAGTCTCTGGGGACTTTTGGCAGCCTGACTTCACACTATCTGTCCTGTTAGTATTGAAGAGGTTTTGTCGGTGCCATTTAAATGAAGCCCTTTTTATTTGGTATACACCTGTATCTGAAAACCTACGTTTTTAGGTTACTGTAAGTCTTGTTTAGTAAACAAGTCACCTTGTATTTCCTGCACTGGGGTGCCTGGTTCAGTTAGGTCTCATAGTCCCAGCTTGTTCTATTTGGCTGATATTGTTTTGAATGAGTGTTAATATTCCAAAAGAACTGGTGTCAGTCTATCCCAAGCATCGTACCTACAATAGATGTCATGGTGGCTAGACTCTGCAGGCAGGCCATCACAATGCACTGTGTTCTTTATAAGTGCCTCTCCTACAACTTAGACCACTAAAGGTGGCAACATTTATTTTCAGTGTTTTAAAATTAATTTAGTGCATGTGCAAGCACTATAGCATGTGTGTGGAAGTCAGGACAGTTTTCAGGGGTAGATTCTCTCCATTTGGATCACTTGGGATTGAACTCACTTCATCAGGCTTGGCAGCAAACACCTTTATCTTACCAGCCATGTTTTTCTTTGTCTCCTCCCCCTGAGTTTTTATTAAACAGAAACCATGTTTGTAATAAAGCCTTTCAATATATCAAAATTGAGTTATGATACAGTGACCTGGTCCTGTCCAGGAAATCCATGCCAGGAGACCCTATTCTACCTCAGAAATGAGAGGCTACAGACCTGTGGGTCAGATTGGAAGGGTTTCTTCCAAAACAGTGGCTTCTCAGCCATGCTTCATGCAGAATAACCTGCTCACTTCACCATGAGGTCAAAAGCTGCTTTGGCTGTCCCTGCAAACATCTAGTAAAGATGTGTTACTGACTAGCCCTAGACCCAACCATCTGCCGTTCCTCCTGTCAGCTTAGGGGGCAGCACCTGCCTCAGCTGTTTTTAGTTTCACAAGGCTTAGTATTAATATCTTTATGTCTCTTGGCTATAATGATACATCTAAAAGACGCTAGCACAGACTAGTAATTCTAAAGGACACATGGATGGAGGTTGATTTTAAACTGATTATCCTCAGTGATTGTTTCTACTGTAGTTAGCCATTCTAGATTTCTTGCCATTTTGTCCCTCCCAGCAGTGTTCAGAATAGCTATCACATGACATGAGCTCAATAATCCCAGATCAACATTAATAGGGACACAGGTCTGTCAAAATTTGTTGAGAACCCCAACAACAGAATATAATGAGATCTTATTTTTCCCTAAGAACTCACGTGATTTCCTTTTTACTGTCTCACACCAGACCCTTCCTGGGCCCCAGCAAAGCCTGACCCACAGGATACCTGAACTAGATAGAGACAATCAGGCTTGAGCCAGCCAAAGTAATCGGGGTACCTGCAGTCGTCTCCTCCAGTGCTGACCACATACTTGTCATCATAAGAAAAGCGGATATTTGTCACATGAGCTGAGTGGCCAAAGTAACGTTTATGCTTGGCCTGTGAGGAAAAGCAAATGGAAGCAGCTGAGTGCCTGTTGTTTCCAGTAACTAGTCAAGTTATAGATCCACTAGCTGCCCTGCTCCCAGAAACTCCTGAGCTCTGTCTAGACAAGGAGTTGATGGGAAGGGTGCCTGCTGTGCCTTGCAGTCTCCCTCTTAGGGCTACAGACTGCTCTTCTGTCAACTGTAACCACACCACTTCTAGGGTACATCTGCCAACCAGCCTTTTGTGATTTCCCTGTCTCATTCTTGCCCTTGTGGCCATTTTGTCCACCCACCATCTATCTAGTTTCTAGGACTGTATCTCCAGAGGGACATGACACTACCCAAATCTCCAGGGCTGGTTCCATGACAACTCTGATGGTCGTATATATGTGCAGGTGTTTCAGACTACACAGGAAGGAGCAGGGCCTGGAGGCAGATCAGGGGCTACTTGGGAAGACTCACAAATTTTTCTGTGCATGGAAAATCAAAGAGCTTCACTAGCCCAAAATCATCTCCTGTGACAATGTTCAAGCCAGCATGGGTCACACATGCACAGTTGACATCAGCCTTGTCTGCATTTCGTGGCCAGATTCCAATGACTTCATCTCCTAGAACACTGTTTCAAGAGGGAAAGGTGTTAGGAAGATGTGACAGAATTTCCTAGAGTCATTGTCCCTTCTTGGGGTAAGAAGTAGCCAGGAATTCTACATGATTTGGTCATGTGGCAGCCATGACTGTCCCCTGCCCTGGGCACTTTCACCACCTTGCACTGTTCCTTCTGAAACCCCATTCCTTAGACTTCAGAAATAAAAGTTCATTTCCGTCTTTGCTTTTATTTTCTTTCCTGTATTCCTACTGATGTATGTTGGTAAGGGAGGGGTTTCCTGACTCTAATTGTCCCTTGCCTTGAATAAAGCAGGCATTGTTTCTTAGCCTGCTCAACAATAATTACTGGAAGCTTTGTTGTCAATGGGCTTGGTCAAAACATCGGAACTTGCTGAATGGGGGGCTTGGAGTTGGTATGAATGATTAGACAAAAAGGACTTGGTGCTTACAAAGCACCGATCAGATAAAGCCTAAGTCAGTGTCAAGCAGCCTTCCATGCTCATTCCTCCCCGCCCCCCCCTCCACTCCAAGAAAAGCCAGTTTCATCTCAGCTCTTTGTATTGTGTTATCACAAACCCAGAGGCAGAGAGGTGGGACCTCTTCCTCAAGTAGAGTTTGCTTCAGTCACCTTGTCCAGGAAGCCCAGGTGATCTTCTCAATGACCATGGCTTCAGTTACCTGCTTCCCCAGGGGAACCTCATGCACCTGGCGCTTATAGGCTCCTGTTGACACCTGCAAGCGGAGAGGAACCACGTTCATCTGCTTCCCCAGTCTCACAGACCCCCTTGGCTGTCTTCCCCAATATGTTCAGCCCCAACATCGAAACACAAACTCAGCTCTGGGCTACAAAGCCTGGACACGGCCCCTGCTAAATTCACAGAATGGGGTGTCTCCTAACCCCCAAAGCCTGGAGCCCATGCTGAAGTTGATAGGCTGGGGTCTCTTCTACCACTCTTCACTTCTGTTTCCTAAAGTTCTAACACATTGGCTCTCAAAATGTGACTGCACATCAGTAACTGGAAACTTGTTAGAAACATGAATTTTTGACTCAGCTTGTCAAATCAAACCCTCTCAGGGTTTAACAGCCTCCAGGTGATTCCAATACACATAAAAATCCCTGTTCTCAGAAAACAAAGACATGAAAGGCAAGTTTTATTGTAGGCAGTGTCTGATGGACCTGCTTCTCTAAAAGTCCCACAGAGGAAATTGGCCACTGTTTTCACATTAAAGGACATTTGCCAGCATCTTAATTTTAGGCCCCCTCTCTCCTCTCGAGCTTATGACGATGCCTCTACATAAGCTACCTAGGCTTTTCTTCTGTTCGTGGCATGAGCCTAAGTCTTACTCCAGGGTTTCAATGCAGATGGCTTGGAACAGAAATTCCATCCCCTTTGTAAGCTAACTCCTGCAAAACATACAGACTTGGTCTAAACAGCACTTGCTTAGAAGGGAGGCAGGTCTAAACTGACACCTCTAAAAGGGCAGCCGGCACCCTTTACTTGCCTCTTAAGCACACAAGTATGACATTGGTGATCTAATATTTGCCTTCTCCATGGAAGACATAATAAACATTGTATCCATCTAAAAGTTCACCTAGTCTAATGCTTTGTTTGAAAAGGGAGTATGTGCATTCCTCTCCTTTTGTATCCAACTCTATGCCTCCAAATGCTGGATACTGAAGGCACTTTTGTTTTTTAGTCATCAGTTCCAAAGGTAGGACTCCCTGATCTCGTCTTACTGGTCAGCTGTGCTGGACCCAGTGATGAGCTCTTCAGCTCAGCCTAGCGTGCCACAGCATAAACAATAACAAGTTCAGTGGAGCCCTAGAGAACTAGAAATTAGGTCCTTTTTAAAAAATATGTTTATGAGTCCATGTGTGCATGTGTGTACATATACACAAGTGCCTGCTATGGAGACCAGAGGACAAATTGTGGGAATCGGGTCTCTCCTTCTATCATGGGGGACGTGGGAGGGTTTGAACTTGGTTGTTGGGCTTAGCTGTAGGCACTGTTACATGCTGAGCCGTCTCCCCAGCCCCAGAAATTAGGAAATTCTGATGAAGGGCTAGTGAAAGTAGGTTGAAGATGACTAGTGATCTGTTCCCTGCTATGCAATTTTTTTTTGTTTTTGTTTCTTCCTAAAGAATGGCTACATATATGTAAGATATATGTAAATTATCCAAGCCTCTGCTCCACATTTATAAAATAGGGGGAAAGGAACAGCACTTGGAAGTTGCCTGTGATGGATAAATTAGTATGTCGCCCAGCACACAGTCAGCACTCTACTAATAGCACTGTTTTTGTTGCTCTTCTTGGTTGCCCCTGAGACAAGTTAACCACAAGCATACCTGAATGTATTTGCTATCTGCAGAAAAGTCCAGCTGAATGACAAAGCTTGGGATATCTTTGCAGTAGCCAATGCGGTTCAGACTTGTGCCCTGAGTGAGGTCATAGAAGTCAACTGTGTGCTCAGAAGAGCCCACAGCTAAGAATCTGTTGTCTGGGCTGACTCTAGGGAAAAACAAAGTCAAGAGCATGGTCCACGAGGAGGCACAAGGCAGATCTGGACACACAAAGATGGGCAGCTCTGTCCCAAGCCCAGAGATAGTCAGATGAGCCTCCCAACTCACATGTGGCTGGCTTCTCCCAGGTTCTGTGAAATTAAACACATTTTCTAAATCTAATCCCCAAGGTAGGGGAATGTTGGTATGCAGCCTTTTTGTAAAATTACAGGTACTTTTACCATCCATCTTATGTAAAAATGACTGTGTGAGGGATAGGTACCCTTGTATAGCAACCCTTTCAACTTCCTTCAATTCAGCTGTTGTTCCCCCCACCCCCCACCTTTTCTGGCTCAGACCTTATGTACCTGATGTCTTGGATGGCAGATTTGCGGTCTCTTTTTTTCCCCCAAACTTTCAGGCTGTTCACCAGCAAGATGACAAACTCTCCGTTCTTCATGCCAATGGCCACCATCTCCCCATCAGGGCTATAGGCTGCACACCTGGCCGCATGGCCTAGGTTCACCTTGTTCAGCAGTTTCTAAATGGATAGATACAGAGAGTCATCTGAACCCTCAAACGTGGGCTAGTCAGGACAGGGAAGGCAGGCTACTTCAGCTGCCACTGAAAACCACCGGTGTCTTCTCATAGACCACCTCCATGGGCATCATGATTAGAGCTGCTTGGGGGACATCTTTTAAGACAGGGTTTGGCAAACATGGCCTGTTATGTCGTCATAACTTTGCATTGACACTGTAGGACCTGTGTTCTAATTACTCGGCTTTGTCATGCCAATTGTGGACAGCAGATGATGAATGTGGCTTCACCTGTCGAAACGGGCCTTGGGCTTTGCCAGCCTCTTGCTCTTGAAATGGGCTCTCACTTTCTAGTTGGGTGCTTTTGTGCATTGCTGCCCATACAGAAGTGACACTGACAGCAGTCTGGGAAGACTTTTATAAGCGTTAACAATAGCATCCAGGAAGCATCCAGTATACAGTATACAGAATAGGGGTTTTCAGTATGTGAAAGCTGTTTTTAGTCACCTTAGTAGCTTAAAAACTAAAAGTATTATACATGCATGTGTTTGCATTTCTGTTCTTTGACCATTACACTGAAAATGTGACCAAACATTTCTTAGCCATTTTGAAACAGACTTTGGGTGTTTGTTCTGGACTGGATAAGGCTAAGTAACCTTTTTCTTGATATTTTACATTTTTTTTCACCCCATTTCCCAACCTTCCTGGGACCTGATGGGAACATTTGACATTCTCAAACATGTCTCTCCCTCTACCTCTCCCCTTGTCCTTTCATAAAAAGGTAGTAATTCTCAATTCAATTATTCCAGAATTATGAACATGTAGGGCTCAGCAGAGTGCTTTTCTAATATCCATGAAGCCTTGGCTTGTGCATAATAGTGCACACCTGCACTCCCAGCACTGGGGAAGTGGAGGAGGAGAATAGGGGGGTGAATGTCTTTCTTTAATACATTTTGAGTTCAAGGCCAGCCTAGGCTGTGAGACCCCATCTCAATACACGTATATCTCGACAGATGAACTGCTGAAGGGCAGATGGATGTGTGAGGGACTTTTATTAGTAGACTTCCTAACAGAGTTGATCCAGTGTACCCCCATCTCTGGCTTGACACAAGCCCTCTCCTCTCCAACTGCTATAGGCACATGGAGCCAGACAGAGTTGTGGAACACTGTGAAGATGTGTCTTTGCCAAGGCTCCTTCTTACTGGTTTAATAAAAAGCTAAACATTAGCTAGGCAGGAAGATATAGGTGGGACACCCAGACACATCGGACACTGGGAAGAAGAAAGGTGGGGTTGCCAGGAGACACAGAGGGGAAAGACACACTGGAAGACAGGTAAAGCCATGAGCCACTTGGCAATATGTAGAGAAATAGAAATAGGTTAAATTGTAAGAACTAGTTAGTAACAAGCCTAAGCTATGGCTGAGCTTTTATAATTAATAATAAATCAGTGTCATTCATTATTGGGGAGCCAGGAGTCCCAAGGAAGAACACTGACTATACAGAGTAGGCCCCCTTACCTTGTCAGCCAAGTCCCAGATCCTTGCTGTGCCATCATTGCTGGCTGAGATGAAGATGTCCTTAGAGGGATGTGTGGCTAGGCCCCAGATCTCCCCCTCCATATGTCCATCAATCAAGATGTTTGAAGCAGCATTTTTTTCACCGACTTCAATTATTTCACCATCTTTGGTTCCTACTAAAATTTTCCCCTGTTATAATAGAATACTATTAGAAAAAGAACTGTACCTCACTTATCTGAGGTACCCAAAGTGGTCAAATTCCTGGGACACAGAGGGGAGATGGTGTTTAATAGAAACTCAGTTTTAATAAGAAAATGTTTGAAGGCAACAGTATGTGTTTAATGTCTATGAGTTGTACAGAAATTGTTAAAATGGTTAAGTTTTTTGTGTTTTGCCACAGCTTAAAAATATAAGTTAAAGCCAGGTGGTGTGGCACACATCTTTAATCCCAGCACTTAGGAGGCAGAGGCAGGCAGATGAGTTCAAGGCCAGCCTGATCTACAGAGGGAGTTCCAGGACAGCCAGGACTGTTTCACAGAGAAACCCAGTCTTGAAAAACCACACACAAAACACTACTACTAATAATAGCAATAACTCACTCAAAAGCACTGTCAGTGGAACTCCACTATGTTGGTTTTAAAACTGCTCAACATAATGAGCAGTAACTAGTTAAGGACTAACCACCTGTTAGCTGCCTCCTCTCCCTTCTCACTTTGCCCCTTCCTTCCTTCCTTCCTTCCTTCCTTCCTTCCTTCCTTCCTTCCTTCCTTCCTTCCTTTCCCTCCCTCCCTCTCTTCTTCTTCTTCTTCTTCTTCTTCTT